GCAAAAGCATTCAACCAGTTATCCACATAGTTGTTCCGACTTTCCATGTGACTATAATAAATACATTCTCACCAATGAGTGAAGTGTAATTTTAGTGTTTAAACCATTTTTTTCCCAAATAATAGTTCCTAGATGCAGTTTATGAGCCTCATTGAGTACCCACACAAAGTAGATATAATTGTCTGTTGGACTTTTTGAAAGACTTGTTTTTCAAAAAGGTACCTTTCTAAAGGATTTTTATGTGTAGTTTTGACTAAACAAGGCTTTGTCTTACTTCCTGTTTTTAAAATCTAACTTCAACATTAATAAATCATTATGCTAGTTATAACCATACAAATGATCTCATATCTCTGAGCCTAAGTACCCTTAACTATATACACTGTAAGGATGTGGAGATAGAAAGTGATGTAAAAATGCAACAAGTGCTGACTGCCCTCATAAACAAATGCCTCATGCATATAGAATTTCTGTGTCTGGTTGATTAGTGAAGGAATGTGTACCCACCCAAAAGAAAAACTCTGAAATAAGTACTTTTCAGATATTTATTTTTTTAATATTCCATGTAATTATCACATTAAGGCATATTCAACTTTGTCTGTTAACCTGATATACCTCCAGGCAACTTTTAGGATACTGTACAGATACAATGACTGTGAAGGATGGGATGAAAAGGCCGTGTGAAGCAGGACTCAGAGGCACGTAAGGAGGCCTCAAAGTTACATCTCCCTTGCCTGTTTTCTTATAGGCCATATACCTTAGCCCATCCCTGTCAGTATGAGTGAGAACCAGGCTCTGCCTCTGCCTACCTAAACCACTACCTTCAAGGCCCCACAAAGACCCAGTGTTTCCAGACAGCCTTTCTGTCGTCATCTCTTCTTCTTCTTCCTCCTCCTCCTCCCCCTCCTCCTCCCCTTCTTCTTCTTCTTCCTCTTCTTCTTCTTCCTCCTCCTCCTCCTTCTCCTCCTCCTCCTCCCTCTCCTTCTTCTTTTTCTTTCTTCTTCTTTCTTCTTCTTCTTCAGTGAAGTCTTGTTCTGTTTCCCAGGCTTGAGTGCAGCGGTGGCTACCTGCAACCTCTGCATCACAGGCATTCTCCTGCTTCAGCCACCCAGGCGGCTGGGATTACAGGCACAGGCAGCCACACCTGGCTAAGTTTTGTATTTTTAGTAGTGACGGGGTTTCACCATATTGACCAGGCTGGTCTTGAACTCTGATCTTGTGATCCGCCCACCTTGGCCTCCCAAAGTACTGTAGTTACCAGAACTCCATGAACCAGAATGAAAGTTTTAGAACATAATACAAGGATAAGACCCAAGAATTAAACACCACTAAGGTTAACTTTGCTTTAGAGGTTAGAGAAAACATTGCAAGGACACCACACCATAGACGATGAAAACCCCAAATGTGTTGAAATGATGCTGATGCCATTTATCTCCATATTGCCTGATAATACCCAGGTGTTACCATGGCAGCTTATGGTGGTATTTGCTGGGAGCTATGATACTCGTTAAGAAGTAGTAGGACTACTAGTAAAATTAGTTCATTCCAGGCAATATGCTATGCACATGACCCATTTCATCTTCTTATAAACCTTGTGAGGTACATCTTATTTTTCATCCTCATTTTATAGATGCAGAAAGGGACTCATAGAAGTAAATTTCCAAGATTACATAGCTATTTATTGTTGGAGCTGAGATTTGAATTCAGGTTGTCTGTCTTCAAGGACTATGCTCTTAATCTCAGCAGCCATCAAACTTTTCTGTAAAGAGCCAGCTAGTAAATATTGTGGCTTTATGTATATTCTCCACTGCAGATCCGTTGGTTTTTTAAAATAATGCTTTAAAAATTCAAAAATCATTCTTAGCTCATAGACTACACAAAACAGAGTGCAAGTCCAATTTGGCATTTACTCTTCATATTGATCAAGGGTTTAAGAATATTGTGGGTACACTATTCCACATTCCCCTTAGGTAAATTCTGCATGTTTATAGTACTATTCGATTTCTGTTGACAAAATAATCCACAATTCAGACTTCATCTCTCTCTCTCTCTCCTTCCCTCTGATTTTGTCTGAATTTATGAGGTTTAGTTGTATTTTCAAGTTAGTCTTCCTACTAACTAGTGATTCTGTTGAACATTTAAGAAGAGACTGTCAGGAATGAATAAGAAAGTCTCTTCCAGTCACTTTTTGTTTTTTGGAGACACGCTCTCACTCTGTTTCCCAGGCCGGTGAGCAGTGGTGCAATCACAGAGGACTGCAGCCTCAGCTTCTAGGTTCAAGGGATCCTCCTGTCTCAGTTTCTGAGTAGCTGGGACTACAGGTGTACGCCACCATGCCTAGCTAATTTTAAATTTTTTTATGTAGATATGGGGCCTCACTTTATTGCCCAAGCTAGTCTCTAACTCCTGGGCTCCAGCAATGCTCTTGCCTCGGCCTCCCAAAGTGCTGGGATTACAGGTGCGAGTGACTGCATCCAGCCTCTCATTGTCACTTTTAATCTATATCATTGGCTTTCTCGTTAGGTTGTATTTTTATACAAGGAAGTGATTTTAGGCAGTATGGCATTAAATTAGAGAGGCTGTGTTTTTCTTTGATATAGGTATAAATAAGATGAACTGGCTTTAATTAGGCTTGTCCCTTTTCTGAGAAGTGACATTTGGGAGGTCACATTTAGTTAAGGCAGTTTTGCTAGTATAAATTTACCAGGAACCTGAAATGTAATCCTGTATTATTTTTGGTAAGATTAAAATGGTTTATAAAAGGAGGTGGTTCATGAAATGGATTGATATCAAGATGGAACTTCATGCTTTCTAGGTACCTGCTGTATCCTTGGAGATTTAAAATGTCATCACAGCATTCTAGGCTAGACTGCTAGTGGAGAAATCACAGTGAGTTATTGGATTTGCTCAAGATAAAATCTTGAACTTGCAAATAAATGCCGGTCAGCTTTTTTTTTTAACACTCTCATGGTAAATAATACACAACTCAGATTCGTGTAATGGGCAGAAGAAAATCATCACTTTCATTATTTCAGTATGAAACTCAAGAGAAACCTTACAGAAGTGTTTATAAAATTATTCTGACCACAAACCAAGGCAAAACATATACCGAACAACATATTATGACATAGTAAATAAAGCTGGGGTTGTACATATATATGTCTACTCAAGTATATGAAATAGGAACAACAGTTTCAGCAGCAGTACTACTCTTACTACATTTGAGGCATTTCTGGTATTTTCTATTTCATTAAATTTTTAGTACCTCTTATTATTGCTAAATTCATAACTCATTAATGGGTTTTGACTCACAGTTCAAAAGCACTGCCTTAGAGGATCCAAATGTTCACACTATCCATATTTATAAGAACTAATTGTTTTGGTGTTCTTGTGTATGCTTACAGCTTAGTTTGATTTATTTGCTAAGACCTGCCTTGTGAGAGCTGCAAAGAGTTATGTCTTCAACTACCTAAGCCAGGAATTTACTGAGGCGGCAGGGGACCCAGCGTGAGCAAAATGACATATCATCTCCACCCTCATTGAGCTTATGCTGTAGTGGATGAAATAAACTCAGAATCCAAGGAATTTTAGAAGAGAAGTCATTCCCTTGAGTAACTGTGTTAAATAAGTAAACAGCTTTAGTAGTACTTTCTTAGTAGAAGTTGTTTTCTTCTGATCTGGAAGAGTCAGTCTAATTTTTTCTGATGAGAGTATGGAGGCTCAAAAAATCTGTCATTTATCTCAAGTCTCTTCATTCCAAGTACAGGATTATTTGTAATATACATGCTGCCTCACATGATTGAGGAGGCTTTGTGCTCAAAAGAAAGTGAATTTGGAGTTCAGAAGAGAAAATGATTAAGCCACATCATTAAAATGTTTGACTTTCAGAAATCTTGAAAAGACTTTGAGAGGCACTCTTGCCAAACATTTTTCTTCAGAAGGAGCTTATCTAATTATTCTGGATAATAGAGACAAACTAGGTCTTTTAAAGAGAAAAATTACACCATTTAGTGTTTTACAATCTTTTCTCACTAAGTTCATAAAATCCCTTATTTGGAATTTAACTCATCTAAAACTCTTAAAATCCCTTATTGGAATTTAACTGATCTAAATCCTTATTTCAAAAACCAGAAAACAGAGTCAAACATTTTTCAGTTACCAATGAAAAAAACAAAGATTGTCACCTGCACAAGAGAATCTATAATTTGTTCTTCTCATCACTATGCATTTCATGAGCATTGACTCAAAAACCCATGCTACCTATAAACTAAACAACTATTGCCTCTTCTAGGGGCCGAAGTCTTAAAATTGCAGATGTGAAGGATCGACTCTATTTCAAAGCAGTATTCAGTGGACTTCTGCACATACATCCATTCTAATCTGTTACATGTCTGCACTTTGGAGATTAGTTCATGCTACACGCTTAGAGATGTAATAGTTTCCTACTTGGGAAAATTGAAATTACTTAGATACAAAAGAGTGGTCATAGTAAGGAAATAGGCAAGGAGAATACAGTATTTTAAATTGCTGATCTTCAGTAAAGCCATACATGTTATGCACCTGGGAGCAGATCTTTCTGAAGTCATTCTGTACTCAGAGATGTTTCCCATTACCTTGCTGCCTATGTCAAATTCTGTTTGTTTTTACAGCCCCATGACCTCTCTTCTTAACTTGCAGCAGGAGCTTGAATTTTCCGTTTACTTTCTTGACTATTTAGTCCATAAGAGTCTTTCTCTTTATAGGGCCTCACTTGGCCACAGACTCCATAAATGCAGAGATTCCATTTTTACTTTTTGATTACTATATTCCCAGCAATAAGCACTATGATTAATACATAATAAGTGTTCAATAGATGTTTATTGGATGAATAGATTGGCATTTTAATATAGTCTGAGATCATATTTTAGACAAGATACTTGAGTAGCCCAATCTTTATTATTTATTAGCTACTAAAGATAAATTGATAATCACTCATGATATTCTTCTTTTTTGTTGTTTTACAGTCAACTTTGACCACTTCGAAATTTTGCGAGCCATTGGGAAAGGCAGTTTTGGGAAGGTGAGAACCAACTGAAATGATTAACCACCAGCAGGGTTGTGTAGCCTAGGGAACAGAAGATCCAGAAATGTTCACATTATTGAGCTGCTGGGACTACAAGGAAAGATGATTAAGTGAAAATGTTTTTATAATGGATTTTTATAAAATTGTCACTACAGTTTAAGGAAAGCATGTGACAGGCAGCTACATAATGAACACATACTGTTCTCAGAATAATCTCATTAAACTCCAATCTGTTTACTCTCGCTAACCTTTAAAGCTTTTCTCTCTACCCTAAAGGAGATGAGGATTTCAGAATCATTTTCTGATTATACCAACTGTACACCCAGTAATAGTTGTCTTGTTAATGGAAGAGTTAATTATTTTCACATGGGAAAGAAGTCACCTGATTTCTATTTCAGTATCCTCATTTGTATAATGTTTTTATCTTAAGAACTATACGTATTCAGTCTGACATTTTTGTAAGAACCTTACATGTTCAAGCCCTGATTACTAGTTTCTCAATGAAGGTATACTTTAAGAGAATAGTATTTTATATTATACTTGCATTTTAAAATCATTTGCTGTTGACTTTATCAGGTGTTATATAGACCGCTAAAGAAATTTTAAAAACATGGACATCATATTTAGTGTTTTTCCAGTCCTTAAAGTCCTTTTTGGTTATATCATGTATGGTCGTAAACAGAAATTCTTTGCACAGTATTATTCAACTTGACAGTTTAGTCATGTCTATTTCAGTCACTCAAAGCAAGATTAAGGGTGTTACTTGTTATTAGAAGATTCCTGACATGGAGGCAGCTATTTTCACCAAAATGCTGTCTTAAAAACTCAAAAAGCAAAACCAGGCAAAATTGTTTGAGAAAAAAGAGATCCAAGAACTGAACTGGTGCATAAAAAGAAAATGAAATTTTAAATCTAAAATCAGAGCTAAGTGGGAACTTTAACATCATATAATTTACGAATGTTAAAGATCCAAGCCACAGCAAAGAACATGTCTTGTTCCGTCTCTCATCACCATGATCCATCATCTCCCTAAATACTCTCTCACTCTGGTTTTCACCATTAGGTCTGCATTGTACAGAAGAATGATACCAAGAAGATGTATGCAATGAAGTACATGAATAAACAAAAGTGTGTGGAGCGCAATGAAGTAAGAAATGTCTTCAAGGAACTCCAGATCATGCAGGGTCTGGAGCACCCTTTCCTGGTGAATTTGTGGTGAGTAGTTTTACTGGACCCCCAAATAGAGACACTCCTGATATTGGTGGGCTAGGGGAGGTCCCCAAATGCCTCTGGGAACTCGATGCTGGCTAATATCCAGGTTCTTGACACAATTGCAAGAAAGAGTTCAAGAATGAGTTGGAAAACAATGAAAGTACAGAGATTTATTGAAAAGTAAAAAGTACACACTCAAGGGAGGGGAGCATGGGTGGACTCCAGGGAGTGTCATATAAGGGGCTTTGAGGCTGCTGCCATAATAGGTTTCTTTAACCAAGGGGTGAAACATTCATGAAGATTCTGGAAAAAAGATAGAGATTTCTTGGAACTGTGGTGCCACCTATTTTTACAACAAATATGAATGTTCCTGGAACTGTCATGGTGCTGGTGGATGTATGATTAAGTATGTTAATGAGTGTATGATGAGGTCCTAGGTGAAACCTGGGTTAAATTCAGCACCATGGAGAGGACCTACAGACCCTCTGAAGGAAGCAGACTGCTGCCCCAAACATACACCCTCACTGGAGAAGCTGAAGGTCTGTTTGCTGGAGATGTTTCTGACTTTACCTGGAGCTAAGTCAATTTGGAGAGCTCAGTGAAATACAGGGTAGAAGAAGCAGCAGAAAGGCCCTGGGACATTGCTGGGTCCCCAGGCAGGCTGTTCTTGTCTGGCACCACAGGGATCCAACAGGAGAAGAGCAGGAGGTACAACTACACAGGGAGAAACAAATCTCTAGCTGAACTTTGTAAGAATTTGAACAGGGTGAGAAGTGCCTGGCCAGAACTTAGGGGAGGGCTCAAATCCAGCGTACAGACTCCACAGGCAGGGGAAGAACAAAGCCATTTTCTTTACAGCTGGGAGGCAGTTAGCCTGGGGCAGGTTTTCAAGTCAGTATTGTTCTCTGCCTGGAAACAGTCTAGGGGCTGTTGTGGGGGGCATGTGGGAGTGAGACCAGCCCTTGGTTTTCGTGGGAGCTGGGTGAGGCCTGTGATTGCTGGCTTTCCCCCACTTCCCTGACAATCTGCATAACTCAGTAGAAGCAGCCATAATCCTAGGTACACAACTCCAGTGACCTGAGACTCCCACTCCCATGCCCCACAGCAGCCGCAGCAAGACCTACCCAAAGGAGTCTGAGCACAGAGACCCCTAGCCCTGTCCCCACCTGATGGTTCTTCCCTACCTATCCTAGTATCGGAAGACAAAGGGCATATAATCTTGGGAGTTCTAGGGCCCTGCCCACTGCCAGTTCCTCCCCATAATACCACAGCTGATGCTCTGTGGAAAGCACCACCTCATGGCAGGAGGACAACCAGCATAAAAATAGAACACTATAAACAACCAAAGCTAAGAACACTTACAAAGTCCATTGTACCCCACTGCCACCAAGGGGTGAGAAGGAACCAGAAAACCAACCATGGTAATATGACAAAACAAGGCTCTTTGATATCCCCCCCAAAATCACACTAGTCCCCCAGCAATGGATCCAAACCAAGAAGAAATCCCTGATTTACCTGAAAAAGAATTCAGGAGGTTAGTTATTAAGCTAATCAGGGAAGGACCAGAAAAAGATGAAGCCCAATGCAAGGAAATCAAAAATATGATACAAGAAGTGAAGGAAGAAATATTCATGGAAATAGATAGCTTAAAGAAAAAACAATTTAAAAATCCAGAAAACTTTAAACACGCTTTTAGAAATGCAAAATGCTCTGGAAAGTCTTAGCAATATAATTGAACAAGTAGAAGGAGGAAATTCAGAGCTTGAAGACAAAGTCTTCAAATTAACACAATTCAATAAAGATAAAGAAAAAATAATAAGAAAATATGATCAAAACCTCCAAGAAGTCTGGGATTATGTTAAATGACCAACTCTAAGAATAATTGGTGTCCCTGAGAAAGAAGAGATTTCTAAAAGTTTGGAAAACATATTTGAGAGAATAATCAAGGAAAACTTCCCTGGCCTTGCTAGAAACCTGGACATCCAAGTACAAGAAGCAAAAGAACACTCAGGATATTCATTGCAAAAAGATCTCTGTTTAGGTACATTGTCATCAGATTATCCAAAGTTATGATAAAGGAAAGCATCTTAAGAGCTGTGAGACAGAAGCACCAGGTAACCTATAAAGGAAAAGCCTATCAGATTAGCAGATGTATCTGCAGAAACTCTACAAGCTAGAAGGGATTGGAGCCCTATCTTCAGCCTCCTCAAATAAAATAATTATCAGCTAAGAATTCTGTATCTAGGGAAACTAAGCATCATATATGAAGGAAAGATACAGTCATTTTCAGACAAACAAATGCTGAGACAATTCATCATTACCAAGCCACCATGACAAGAACTGCTAAAAGGGGCTCTAAATCTTGAAACAGATCCTGGAAACATATCAAAACAGAACCTCTTTAAAGCATAGATCACATAGGACCTATAAAATAAAAACACAAGTTAAAAAGCAAAAACAAACAAAAAAACATGCTGCAGGACCCAGGAAAGCTCCCCCCAAAACTGTGAGTTCCTCAACTGTGGAAGTGGGAAAGGGAGACCCTCCTCTCCCAAACATAGACTCCCACTGGAGAAGCTGAAGGTCTGTTTGTGGGAGAAGAGCTTCAGTTTCAGCTTCTTTTCCTTCTTTAGAAAAAAATCAAAGTACATAGGCTACAAAGAGCATGATGAATTCCATGGTACCTCACATTTTGATACTACTATTGAATGTAAATGGCCTAAATGTTCCACTTAAAAGATACAGAACCACAGAATGGATAAGAACTCACCAACCTACTATCTGCTGCCTTCCAGATACTCACCTAGCATAGTAAGTACTAGCATAAACATAAAGTAAAGGAGTGAGAAAAGGCATTTCATGCAAATGGACACCAAAAGTGAGCAGGGGTGGCTATTCTTATATCAGAAAAAATAAACTTTAAAGCAACAGTAGTTAAAAGAGACAAAGGGGGACATTATATAATGGCAAAAAGCCTTGTCCAACAGGAAAATATCACAATCCTAAACATATAGGCACCTGACACTGGAGCTCCCAAATGTATAAAACAATTACTAATAGACCTAAGAAATGAGATAGGCAGCAACACAATAATAGTGTGGGATTTCAATACTCCACTGACAGCACTAGACAGTTCATCAAGACAGAAAGTCAACAAAGAAACAGTGGATTTAAACTATACCTTGGAACAAATGGACTTATCAGATATATACAGAACATTTCATCCAACAACTGCAGAATACACATTCTATTCAACAGTACATAGAACTTTCTCCAAGACAGACCACATGATAGGCCATAAAACAAACCTCAATAAATTTAAGAAAATTGAAATTATATCAAGCTCTGTCTCAGACCACAGTGGAATAAAACTGGAAATCAGCTCCAAAAGAAACCTTTAAAACCATGCAAATACATGGAAATTAAAGAATCTGCTTCTGAATGGCATTGGGTCAAAATGAAATCAAGATGGAAATTTAAAAATTCTTTGAATGAATGACAGTATGACACAACCAATCAAAACCTCTGGGATACAGCAAACTTTGCTAGGAGCAAAGTTCATAGCCATAAAGGCCCACATTGAAAAGATTGAAAGAGCACAAACTGACACTGTAAGGTCACACCTCAGCGAACTAGAGAAAAAAGAACAAACCAAACCCAAACCCAGCAGAAGCAAGGAAATAACAAAGATCAGAGAACAAAATGAAATTGAAATAAAATAAATGCAAAAGTTAAATGAAACAAAAATTGGTTTTTTTGAAAAGATAAATAAAATTGATAGATCATTGGCAAGATTAACCAAGAACAGAAGAGAGAAAATTCAAATAACCACACTAACAAATGAAACAGGAGATATTACAACTGACACCACTGAAATACAAAAGGTTATTCAAGGCTACTATGAACAACTTTATGCACATAAACTAGAAAACCTGGAAGAGATGAATAAATGTCTGGAAAAATACAACCCTCCTAGCTTAAATCAGGAAGAATTTAGATACCCTGAAGAGACCAATAACAAGCACTGAGATTGAAATGGTGATTTAAAAATTACCAGCAAAAAAAGCCCAGGACCAAATGGATTCACAGCAGAATTCTACCACACATTCAAAGAATTGATACCAATCCTTTGACACTAAGGAAATCTCCCTAATTCATCCTATGAAGCCAGCATCACCCTAATACCAAAACCAGGAGAAGACATAACCAAAAAAGAAAACTACAGACCAATATCCTTGATGAGCATAGATGCTAAAACCCTTAACAAAATACTCGCTAACTGAATCCAACAACAGATTAAAAAGATAATCCACCATGATCAAGTGGATTTCATACTAGGGATGCAGGAATGGCTTAATGTACGCAAGTCAATAAATGTGATACACCACATAAACAGAATTAAAAACAAAAATATCACGAACATCTTAATTGATACAGAAAAAGCATTCAACAAAATTCAGCATTTCTTTCTTTCTTTTTTTTTTTTTTTTTTTTGAGATGGAGTTTCGCTCTTGTTACCCAGGCTGGAGTGCAATAGCGTGATCTCAGCTCACTGCAACCTCCGCCTCCTGGGTTCAAGCAATTCTTTTGCCTCACCTCCCGAGTAGCTGGGACTACAGGCGTGCGCCACCATGCCCAGCTAATTTTTGTATTTTTAGTAGAGACGGGGTTTCACCTTGTTGACCAGGATGGTCTCGATCCCTTGACCTCGTGATCCACCCTCCTTGGCCTCCCAAAATGCTGGGATTATAGGCATGAGCCACCGCTCCCAGCCTCATTTCTTTACAATTAAAACCCTCAGCAAAATCGACATAAAAGGGACATACCTTAATGTAATAAAAGACATCTATGACAAACCTATAGCCAACATAATACTGAATGGGGAAAAGCTGAAAGCATTCCCTCTGAGAACTGGAACAAGACAAGGATGCCCACTCTCATCACTCTTCTTCAACATAGTACTGGAAGTCCTAGCCAGAGCAATCAGACAAAATAAAGACATA